TTTGCGTAGATGCCATGGAATGCAGACCCCCATCACTCAGTTTTCGCAGACCCCGGTCACACAGGTTTTAGGGGTATTCTGCTTCTACTCTCGTGTGCACTGTTGGCGACTTGGGTAAAACCAAGCCGCGGGATCCCTGCAATGCAAAGGCCTTTGATCTGTGGCCAGCCACATGCATGAGGCAAGGATGGCTGCCAAAAGTGCTGCGCTCCTTTCGTTTCCTTCAGATGCCCGATGGCCCGATGAGTGTTTAGACGCAGATCATCGCTACCTTGTCCCGAATGCTGACCGAAAGCTGGCGGCAGCAACCTACCCCATCCTGGGATGGGATGGCCCGCACTGGGTCCCGGCCCCACATAAGCTTCGAGATGTGGTTTGGATTTTGACGCGAGCGTCCCTCAAGGTCATAGTTGTGCGAGAAAGCCGTGTTCCGGCGATGCTCTGCGTCCAGACCTTCTTTGGGTGCTGAAACCTCTGGAGTGAGCCTAGTGGCGCCGTTGACGGCCCCTACTGTTTGATGCCTAGTGTGCCTTTTTGGCCACTGTGCTCATGCTTCTGCCAACCAGCCGTGCTAACACACGATGCACTTGCGTCGTTTGTGCTGCGTGATGCCTTTGACAGTTTGACCGCTTTTGACTTTTAATTGTACATCTGGTACCCACTGTTCGCATACCTGATCAGCAAGAGCGAGAACGCCATGTCTTGCGATTGCGACTGCGTTGAGTAGGCCTGGAGTTTGCAGCTATTCGTAGCGGAACTCGACCTTGCGGTCATAGTGCCCTAGAGGCACCGGCGCATATGCACTGCCGATCGTGTGAACGCCAAGCTGAGCGACCGGCTGCGATTGGAATGAAGCAGTAGTAGTAGTAGTCGTCGTCGTCGTCGTCGTCGTAGCATTGAGCATTGCACGCAGCGCGGGGAGTCCGTTCGCCAAGCGTTGGGTCGTGAGCAAGCGAATATGTCGCCCGGAGTCGAGGACTCATGACATTTGTCATCTCAAAACAGACACATCACGTACCGTCCCGAAGGACCTGATAGCATACGTGATGCCAGGTCTATGTAGCTAACTAGTGCCGATAGGCTGGTCCAGAGCTGTCGAATGGCTGTAGAAAAGAACATAACAAGCTTTATGATGCGAAGCTTTCAACTCAGACAGCTTTCTGGCCGGCCGCCCGTCGTCACAACTCCAAAAGGTTTCCGCCTGGGCCAATGTGGCTGTGTAGTGACCCGATTGCGGCGTGTTCCCATGATGCTCGATGAATGCACTCAGCTTGTATGGACTGAACCGAACTTCGTGGCCTGCCCCGCGGAAGACCGGAACTTTGATGACTGAGTCAATCATGACCTTGTGCTCATTTTTGCGGATGCGCCCCATCTGCCTTTCAAATCTATGGAGCTGCAACATGAGCACCGGGGGTTCCGCCTGGAGGGCATGAAATCGATCAATGCATCGATGCCAATCATCCAGAAGAGCCTGCACCCTGAGTGATGTTTTGCTGTGATGCGGCAGATGAAGCACAATCGTCTGAGTGCACAGCCCCTCATCCAGATGACGAGAAGCCCCCGCCATAGCAGGTGTTCTAGCCTGCCATGAGCCTGAGAAGAGACCATAATCGTCTGATTGAAGTAGATGAGACAGGAATTCGCACACATCATGTTGTCGATGCGCCTCGCCCCACCCATGCACCAACGAGCACCATCCTTCATCCTGCATCAAGTTGAGCCGCAGACTGCTATGTTCCGTGAAGAGGGACTTACAAAACTGCACGCCTGGGCTCTCGACAATATTGTCCAGCATTTGAAGAAGATGAAGCAGCCATAGAAGAACCTGCAGTGCCGAGTTCATATAGCAAATAGAGGTGTTGTTCTGGAATGTGAGCCTCAGGATGCGTGGCAAAGCCGGTGGGTTGGACCCCGTTGCGGTTGATGAGGCCGAGGAGTTCACCGGCGCCCGAAAACCATTTCCCTGAGACGCTGTTCCTCTGGCCCCCTGCCCAGTGACTCGGTTTTGTAACCCATCCCGATCAACTGGAAGATCGTGTTTCCCTGTAGGGCACGCATGGTGTCCCACATGGTCAATGCACTGTGGCTTCGAAGGGAGATGTCCATCTTGAACGTGGCCGGTGACGTCATTGTCTCCGTGAGCTTCCTGGTGCAACAGAACCGCGTGATGATCACAGCCTTCAGGCACTGCTGTATAGTGGCCAGATGATCCAGCAGTTTGTCGTCCGGAATGGACTGACGGCTGCGGTCGTGCTCTAGGTGTCTGAGAGATCTGTTCCATACCTGAAACCGCCAGCCCTTGTCGTCCCTCCAGCCTTGATCCATAACCGCCTTCAGCCGCTCCTGGGAGGCTAGAACTTTGTTCAGCCTCTCGATGAGCTCCCGAAATAGGGCATTGGCTAGCACCATCCGCAGGGGGAGTTGGCCTAATGTCCAATTCGGCTCCGCCTCCTGCTTGGCTTTGAACTGGACGGCCACCTGATATAGATGGTGCAGAATAGAGTCCTGCCCCGGCTTCAAGAAGATGATTAGCGCCGTGTCTTGGCGAAGAAGACGGATTTCCTCTTGCTGACGAAGCACTGTTTTGGCTAAAGTATGTAGCAATGGATCGCTGTGCTGCTGTTGCTGTGCCTGCATGTGCGGGTAGGACTGGTGCTGGAAGGGGCTGCGACCGAATGGATTCCTGGGGGGCCTTGTGCCCGCGAAGGGTTCCCGGCGGCGCTTGTTCGGGCCATTGTCCATCGTTCCCTCCGTCGCAAAGTCCTGGAAGGGGTCCGGGGGGAGTGGGCCCATTGGTGGATACTCCCGAATCCCGCCAAAGAACTCCGCCATGTCCGCGTCCATCCTGGTGTCCTGTTTTCACAAGTACTTGATAGTAGGCACACATAAACGAGATTTGCCACAACGAGGTGCATTTGTGGAGGTGCGCCCTCCAGTCCTTGACCTTCCGTTGACAATAGTGGCACGTAGTGCACGGGGTGGCCCGTTGCTCAATGTTGCGGCATGCCGTACTACTAAGTAGTTGGAAGAGTTCCTGATGGGTGTTTCTGTAGTGAAGCTTCACGACCTTCTGTGACACGATCCACTGATAGCAGAAAGCACAGTGATGTTGCAACTGCTCCGTATAAGTAGTGTGTTGTATGAAGCTGTTGATACCTTTTTCGACCAGGTCCTGGACTGCACGTTGTTGTATCAATGGTGTCTGAGTGCTTGGCTGTGGGCGACCGACAAGACCAGACCGAGCACCGCAATCCTCAGAACACTGAGCCTGAGTAGCTGCTGTAGCATCCGCAGTGGCCGCCTTCTCGTCACGTGTGTTTGTGCTTGCTGTCTGGTATCGGTCCGGCTTGGAGAGAGCAGGACAGGCATGATGGTTGACGTGCCACTCAAGAGTTTGCCACCGGCTGAACTTTTTCAGGCACCCTGAGCACTGAGGTAGGCCCGCGATTGAGTGCTTGACCCGATCAAAGACCTTGGCCGGTGCATCTACGAGTTTGTGTTTACGCCTGGCGTGTTCTTTAAGCGCTGCCGTAGTAGGAAATTGCTCCAGACACACAGGACACGCCCAGACTTCACGTTCTTCGTCCGAGTCCGGCGCTGTTTGAAGCGGTTCTTGTAGTAGGCACCGGCTAATAGCCTGATTGTAGGTGTGTTCCACAAGCCAATCTCCGAACTGCGCAATACTCAGCTCATTGCCATGGGCCCGGTTGAGCAAGGCGTGGGCTGTCTCAACCTCATACTGCTGTGATATTGTCTCGTGGGTATGGCCAGTGATGAAGGCTTGGTCCGAGGTGATGGCCCGAATGTGTTTCATGATTGCTCGCTGAACGAACTGGATCTGACCAGGCTGCAAGCACAAACAATGCAGGGCGTACATCATAGTAGACAGCACACAACTACGCCAAAGCCGAAGTTTGTAGGTGGTGGACACCCTCCTGGCATGCAGTAAAGAAGCCAGTGCCCATCGCCGTTTGTGAGCCTCGCCCACCCGATGCCGGACTGACTGCCACTCAAATTGATCATATGATATGATCAACCCTAAGTATTCTGCCTTGTCCACCAGGGGTATCCACTGCGAGGGGTCACCCGGAGACAGCAGTAGCCTTTGTGCGCCACCTTGCGATCGAACATAGAGTTTGTGTATCTTATGCTTGATGTTTCCCGTGACCGAGAGGATAGCCTGTGTCTTGTCCTGGTTGATTTTCATGCCCAGGCGCCTAAAGATTGCAAAGGTCCATCTGAGCTCCTGTATAGCATGTTCAAACTGAGGAACCGTCTGGAAAGTCCATTGCAGGTGGCTGTCGTCTGCGTACAGAGTAGCATGGTCAGAGCACCACGAATGCTTCATTCGTAAGTCGAGCGCCCGACAAAGAAGGGCCGTGAAAGCCGACCACAGCACCGGGCTGCCAATGCATCCCTGTCTTAGACCCCAGCTGGGCCAAAGTTCCTTCTCAAGATTTTTGTGCTGGAAAATATATTTGACCTGACTGAGCCATTGCAAGAGCACCTCCTGAATCGAGGGATCCA